ACCGTTAGCGCGTTCTCAAAACTGGACAAAATGAGAGTCGGTAACGCCCGACTGCAACGTTCTTATTTGTTTTTATGTACTTCAGTAATAATTGCATTATTTTTTTCAATCTCGTAGACCTGTATTAAAGGTAAAGATTTTGATTTATCAGAGCTGCAAAATCTGTTAAGCAAATATCTACCGAATCTGACAGTGGAAAGCGATATTGGGAACAAAATTACATATGTGCTTGAGACCAAGTACGAGGATAAATATCCCAACCTGTTCGATGACCTGGAGGACGAAATGGTAAATCTTGACATAATCAGTTTTCGCATACGTGACACGTCATTGGATGAGATATTCTTCCGGTTTGGATCCGAAGATGGAGATTTGAGCGGAGAACCAGCGATGTTGCTAGACGACTTGAAAGTGGTCTTCGAAGACTCGGACAATGTTGGACGTGCCAAAGGAGGAAAGCTTACCAAAATGCGTATGCTGGCCTTACTTCAAACGCGCTTGATACTTAATAAGCGCCAAATTCCCATGAAAATCATCCACGCCTTCGCTATATTGATAGCCGCCATATGCACCTTCTCCTCATTGATTTTTTTTGGGAAGGACTATCAGCTGGTACCTATGTCCTATAATCTAACTCAGATACGCAATATTGATGCATTTGTGGAAATGATGTCAAATAGTCTGGATGTACTTGAAATGCAAGAGTTCTTTATAGAATTACTCTTCTGGTATGATGGTCATGTTAAAATATTAAAGACAATGGTCAATTCGGACTTCCACTTATTATTGCAAACCGACTTTAATCGGGTCGTTAACTATCGCTACATATTCGGTGCTTCGCTTGATACGGACATAATTACCGTCTGGTATAACAATATACCACTTCATGCCGTACCGTATGGCCTCAATTTGGTTCACAATGTTGTTGCACGGTAAGTCCCTCATTTGTTGCTCGTACTTCTCATTAGGAATAGATAGGGAAGAATATAAATAAAGTGTACAAACAATATCTAAGGCATCATCATGATCTATTGAGGGTCACAATAGTGAGACTTCAAAAGTATACAGATCTACAGATAAGCTCTTTACATTCTTTAGCCCTTTAGCTCACATACTCGACGAGAACTTAGGGTACCTCCTCGTCGACTAGATAGTTAATGGTGTGGCTTGATAACACAGATAATATAATCTGCAGTAGTAAAACAATCAAAAGTGCTCTAGTCGAGACTGCTCGACTAGGAGATACCCTAAACCCTCCAAGCTGATATTCTAATCAGTCTGCACTACTTTTATGTACACATACATACATACACATACATAGCAACGCACTCTAACTGCGCGGTAAGCACCGATTGCGCTTGGGCTGATAGTATGAGAATTTAATTGTTGAATAATATTTCTTGTAAAACGTGATCATAATATATATTTCAAAGCACAAGTCTCTACTGCTTAGAATACGTTTTTTACAAACTGGGTGCAAGGAGAAATCGTATCCAAAATCTGTAAATTACAAAGTCTTCGTATTCTCTGCAGATCGAAAAGTGTTCAAATTACACTAAAAAAACGAAATAAATTAGTCGATTATTGCCGATAAAAAATAAATCAGATGAATTAATATCATAAACTCCTACTGCGTAAGATATACACGATTATACATGCAAAATTTCCGTCTCTAGCTGTCATATCTTCTGACATCAAGGCGTTTATACAGACGGACGTACAACGATCAGAGGGACAGGGCTATATCAAATCAACTCATCACCCTGATCGAGAATATATAGTTTATGGGGTCTGCGATGCTTCCTTCTGCCTGTTACACACTTTTCACGAATCCATTTTCTTATAAATAGTATCGCTATATAGGAAGCACTGAATTAACAGTCTCATTTTAGTGGGAACTTATGTATGAAGAATTTAATTATGTTTTTCCTCACTGTAGACGCTTTTTCAACGACGAGGCTTCAATCGATGTGACACTGGAACCGCTGCCATTCCAGGCCAATGTGAACGCGTTGCCACAGACGCCGTTTTCTTTGGGCACGATGATGGCCATAAATTTCTCGTTTATATTTAGCAACCTGTGGATGAGCGTTGCAATTTCTAGCATAATGGACCATCATTTCAAGAAGCAGCAGTATCTCACCGGAATGGGTCTAACCGTCTATAGCTTTTGCATGTTTGTCTTCGATTTCATACGGGTTGTATTGCTAACTCTGATGATAGTAGTGGTAGTATCGTTCTACATTAATCCTCGACACGATGTGCATTTATATTGTCAGTATTGTGCTTAAACGAACGATGGATCCTTATTTAGTTATTGAAATATCCTTGCTTCCACAGGCTGGATTTTTGTCGCACACGTCTTCAACGGTTTCTCTGTGGTCACATTATCCTACCTGCTCGGCGTCTTGCCCATCCATCCGAACAGTGCATTTATTGCAATATCAAGCTTTAATGCACTGGGTATCATCATGTTCGTTATAACTGTCAGCGACTATCTTGTCGATATGAACGGTGTTTTCCAACTGCTTCCCCAATACACGTTCGCTGAGGTGATTTTCAAATTGGTTTTCCTGTACGAGTATGATTGGCTCTGCAGAGACTCTAATATCAACTTCCTATCGACGGTGGTTGAAAAGTGCAATATATTACCAAACTGTTGCAGTTGAGTACCTCCATCTCTCGTTCATACTCACTCAATTGACATCTCCTGATCCACAGCCGCGTACAATTACTGGAGTGGTGATTTTGGTGTGGTCGTTGATGTTATAATGATGGTAGTCGCCGTTGTCGTGCCGCTAGTTATTTTTCTTGTGATAGAATACTATACTCTTATGAGATGCAAATGCCAGACAGTACCGATGACAAGTAAGCGGAAGCAGAATCCGAGCGAGTCGCGCATAGATCGTCAGGCTCCCCTTAGAGTGGACGAATCGGTTCTTGCCGAACGGAATCTCGTAGAGAATCTAAAAGACAATGAACGATCAAACTATGCTGCCATCTTTCAGGGCATAGGCAAGAGCTATGGCAAAAAAATTGTTATAATACGTTTTGACCTCATTATACCCCAGTAAGTTTCGCACAGATATTCTTATGCCAATGCTCCGTAATCGGCCTCTAATCGGAACATAATGTATTTCGCAGTGCCGAATGCATTGGTCTAATGGGATACAACAATTGCGGCAAGACGACAATTGCCAAAATGATTATTGGTGACATACAATCATCGTATGGACGGATGTGGATTGGGGGCTACAGCACACAGAAGGAACGCTCCAAGTGCTATCCTTTGTTGGGCTATTGCTCTCAGCATGAATCTCTGCCGAGAGACTTTACACCATACCAACTGTTGATCATTCAGTCGATGATGCACGGGGTGTCCAAAAAGCTTGCCACTCCAATATGCGAGGGATTGTCACATTTGCTGGGCTTCCAAAGCTGTTACCACCAGCTGCTCAAGCTTTGCACCACCGGGCAAATAAGGCGCATTGGATTCGCTCTAGCTATATTGGGCGATCCGATGTTAGTTTGCGTAGATGGACCACCTGGCGGCATCGATCCAAATGGCAAGCGTACCCTGTTCAGTCTGACTTCCTATATGCAAAGTCGTGGTTGCAGTTTCCTGTACTCGAATCTGTCGGCTTTAGACTGTGAGCGATTGTGCCAGCGCGCTCCGATTCTATATGATGGCAAGTTATGGACGATTGGCTCACAGAGAGAGCGCTATCGACGCGGCTATGAGCTGGAGGTGCGCTTCAAGCGTAAGGCTAATGCCGACATTAGCACGGCAAGAAGCACCTGGGATCGTATCAACAAGTTTCCCGTTTCGCCGCACAACAAATTGATTCTTTTCGTTCAAATGAAATTTCCTGAGGCAATTCTACAGTAAGTACTTGGAAGCACATTACTTATATACACTTAACTAACTATATTCCTGTTAACCTACAGGCAGCAGCACGATAATGCTATGGTCTACTATATACCTCGTAATTCGATTAGTTTTGCAGAAATATTCCAGATCATACGCAAGGATGCGTTCGAATTGAATATTGAGGATTTCTATATAACCCGAAATATTATTGGGGGCATGCACTCCCACCTATTTGACACTACAATCTTTAGGGATATGAAATAACACAATTCATGAGTTTTAGTTTTTAGAGACGGCAACTCCGTCTTGCCCTTTCAAGTAAATCATGCAGTTTTCCTTCTAATACTATTCTTTAGCGTTTTATCAAATTAAGTTCAAATGATCCTCCGATTTCAATAATACCGAAGTATCAAAAGCTGAAACCAGGTATTTGTGGCAAAGAAAACACAAAATGTAATTTTAAAATCACGAAAAAGCTGTCAATTTCATTCACGTCCATGTTACGTTTACAGTTATGCAAATGTTAAATAACTGTCTATCGATAGACCCACTATAGACCTTAGCTGCCACGTATTTGTTAGCTGACTAAAGCTCCTTGCTTTAGTGGCATCCCTTGTTACAGCAGCCGTTACTCAATAATTCTGTACTCTAAAATATAAAAAAATAAATGCAGTCGATGAATTGTGCAAAACAATTATTTATTTTGTATATTATATTTTTATTCAATACATAAATTCTTTTGAAGTATTTGTACAATCATCGTAACGAATATGTGATGTAATTTTAAAAAAAATTCAATTTACACTAGTAATTTACATTAATTTTCAACATACATTTAGATGATTTTGTAATTTAACAATTTTGCTAGCTAGCGCGGCGTACCCTCAAATTCGCTGTAACATCACAATAGTAAACATCAAGCTCTTCAGTTGAAGCCAAATACTAAAAATTGAAATACTAATTATACTGCTCTGGTTAGAGTTGGTCAATTATGAAATTAGCTAAATAAAATTAAAAATTAAAATCGAAAGCAATTTAAGTTAAGTTCAAGTGTTAATCCGTCAGAATTGTAGGGCTTTTTTTTTTTTTTTTTTTGACGTGTAATGAATGAAGTTTGATGTATGAGTCTTAGGTATGATATTCTGTATGATATTTAATCCACGAAAAAGCTAGCTAGCTAGCTCCTACAGTTAATACGTCCTGGAGTTAGCTCACTTTGAATGGCGTTCATCTGCTGCCTGAAATTTGGCAAATTCTAAGAATATCTCCTCCAATGTTGTCTGACTTATGGAGTAATCCTCCACATGCAACTCTTCACGGTGGCTCTCTATAATACCAAAAATTTCAGACCATTTAAGGCCCTGTAATGGAATGTAAAACGTAAGCATGCCCTGGCACTCCTCCCTAAAATAAAAAATATATAATACTATATAATAAATACTATGGAATGGAAATAAATAAGCTTACTGTAGAACAGACTCCGGATACTTCTCTTGCACAAACGCTTTGACTTTATCATTATCCTGCTTTGCTATAGTGCCATTATCGATTGCGATTACACTGCTGTTTTCCAAAGATTTAGAATTACTAGATTAAATTGATACATATATGTGGATGTACCGAGTATACTCACCCAGTCGACGGCAGGATATCGGCTACGCTGCCTTTGTATGGGACGGGCGTCGGCGACACATTTTCATTGGAGGCGGTCGAAGTCCTTAAGGAATCGAGGTTACTATCCATCGACATATTTCTAACATCATATGGAATGGGTGTGCTGTAGCCATCATTTAATAGAGGCCCGCGTTTTTGAACTGTTAAATTGGGTAGCATTTTAATTTTAAGTATGAAACCTTTGGAGAACTTGTTCTTCAACTGCTGCGTGGAGCCCATGCACATCAACTCGCCATTGACCATGATAGCAAGACGAGTGCACAACGCTTCGCACTCCTCCATGCTGTGCGATGTGAGCACGATTGATGTACCCGAGTCCCTTATACGACACACAATATTCCAAAGCTGACGTCGGGCAGCTGGATCCATGCCGGTGGTGGGCTCGTCCATGTAAACAACAGCCGGAGAACCAAGCACTGCAATGGCTGCGCTCAGTTTGCGCTTGTTACCGCCGCTATAGGCCTTCGTCTTCTTATCGAGATGCTTTAGAAAGCCAAATGACATGGCCAATTCTTCGGACAACGGCTTAATGTTCTTTCTCCTAATGCCGCGCAGAAGGCAGAAAATCTTTAAGAGCTCTCGACCACTTAGGTTCTCAAGTACCGCATCGAACTGCGGACAATAGCCAATTCGTTTGTATATCTCATTTATATCCTTCTGCAGATCCCTGCCCTGAACATAGACGTTACCAAGGCTAATATTCGTATCACCTGTCAGCATTTTGAACGTTGTAGTCTTTCCAGCACCATTGACGCCCAACAAGCCAAAGCACTCGCCTCTGAAAGCCACACCAAGAAATTAGTACACAACGCACGTTCAATCAAATTAGAGGTGCTTACTCGCTCACGCATAGCGACACCTGGTTAACAGCCAAAAACTTTCCGTAATACTTGCAGACACGATCCAGCACTAGATTCTTTTCAGCTATCTCGTGCTGACTCAAATTCAAAATGCGTCTACGCTCCTTATCCACATCGTCATCAACGTTAGTTCGCTCGGGCGGCATCAATGGTTTTCTGCAAAGTTAATAGGAATACGAAAGCTAAGTTTTAAACAAATTTATACAATATCCATTTGAATTTAACGAGAGTGAGATAGAACTTTACAATGCTACGATCACATATCATATATTCATGTACACAGATTCAAGTTTTAAGTCCATTCGCTTATCAGTCGAACTATTCGAATCTTGTCAAAGCCAGATAATCCGCTTGTCCTACCTTTTTCAAACGATACTTTTGCCTCGAATGATTTATGGGGAATGAAATTTGGGGCTAGAGTACTTACTTAGATAGCCAAGATATGATCTTGCGACTTATGCCGTATGCGTTCAGCAAAAGGCATATAAACAGTATAAAGCCCACGGTGATCATGTAAACAATCTCCTGCAGCACACCTGGCGGCTCCCAATCAAAAAAGTCACTTACGCCTTGAAATTGATAATACATAATAATTAATCGAAGCAATCGTATACAATCATATATTTATACTCACTGCAACACATGGGCACAAGCTCGCAGATAATGATGGGCGGCAGCCCAGTTAGCTTGTCGCAAGCAGCTCGCGTGGCCGTGTTTGAGCTGACCTTGTGGATGCCCATGGCGAGCGAAAAGTGCGGAAAGATGCGGAATATATTGTTTAGCCAATTCGCGACAGTTTTCGATTCGAATAGCTCGCTGGACATTATGATGACTACTGCGAATATGGCCATACCAGCGAATATGTTCAGAATAACGATGCGAGCAAAGCCAGTGGCGGCATCTTTGAAAGAATACGACAGGAAATAAGTGAAGGGCAAGACGGCAAATCCAAAGATCAGCATCAACAAAAAGATGCGACCCAACTGGCCAACAGTACTGAAGTTCTCTTCCTGGAAGCAAGCTAGCGTCATTGTAGCAATAAAGGCCGTTACCGCAAAGGTCAAAATGTCCCAAATAAAGTGAGACAGCCAAAAGATCCAGCCCTTGACGCCGCTCACGAACTGTAATAGTTGCGACCTCGATTCGCGTTCATTGATTAGGAACAATATGTATAATGTAGTGACAAAACACATACAGAAAACTATATTGCTGGCTAATTGGGTGCCCAGGCCAGCGCCAGTTTGTGACCGGACGAGCAATGTCTCCGTTTTGAACGGCAGCGGCGAATTGGTAACGCGGATTCTTACATTTTCGCCAATCAGGGCGCGCGCTATCGCATTGTGCACCATGTTTAGCGTGAGTGGTGCTGTGTGCAATAGCTGGTTGTTGAGCCAGGTAGTTATACTATGCTCTCCAATGGTGGCACCTACCAGGTAGCGTGCGTTTATTCTCAGCTGAATGGTCTTTCCCAATTCGAGTATGTAGTCCGAAAAACTCTGATTGCCTGTAGTCTCCAACGTATAGCTAGGCCCATACGAAGTGGCCAACTGTTTGTAGCTTTCGGCGATCAAAGCGCCCTGCGAACTGCCTGGCGGACCAGGCAGAGCTTCCATCACGGAAACCGCAACTGGATATTGAGTAAGATCGAGTTCTATCGCTGGCAAATCTGCGTTCGTGCCACCACTGCGGGACACCATTATAGTTAAGGCCACAAACAGAATGGGCAAGAGGTTTTGCACGAGAAACAGTACTTTGTTGCGATAGGTATAAAGCATCTTCTTATACAGCATTGCCGCCCACTGATTGCCCGTCAGCTTCATGCCATCCAGCATTTGAGCACTATGCGCCAAATAGGTGTCCGCTGCAATCAGTTAGTTGAGCTTATCAATATGCGGCCAAGTAACCTAGGATTTAGTTCAAACACTACTTACATTTCATGGATTCATTGTCGGGATTTTGAGCCAAAGGAACCACCTTTGACTTAGGCTCAACTGCATCGCCATTGGGCATCGACTCGGCACCCACTTTCATGAACACTTCTTCCAGCGAAGTATTGCCAACACCAAAACCATCCAGATTCAACTCATCTTTGCGCTTCTCTAGTTCTCGAAATAGTTCCTCGAACTTACTCGAATACTTATCGGGCAGACTGTAGGTTAGCTCAGTGCCAATATCGCTAGTTGGCCGTATATTGGGGATATACTTGCTAAGTACGGCCGTCACTTCCGCCGGATGACAATTATCCCTTTTGACAAGTATCTAAAAAACCAGACGTCGAGTTTGAAAACACCCAAGTCTTATTAGTATTTCTAAATGCTATCGCAAAAACTCACCAATTTATGACCTGACCCGAACTTCTTCTTCAAGAAAAAGGAAGTGCCATTGCACTTGAGCTCTCCACCGCACATAATAGCAATACGATCGCCCAGCACGTCGGCCTCATCCATGAAATGTGTGGTCAGTAATATGGTGCGACCAGGCCGTTCGCTTATCAGTAGATCCCACAGTTGTCGCCGAGCAGCTGGATCCATCCCAGAGCTGGGCTCATCGCAGAGTACAACTTTGGTGCCACCGCAAAGAGCACAGCAGAGGGATAACTTACGCTTCATGCCACCCGATAGTGTTTCCGCCAAATTATTGGCTTTCTTTTCCAGGTTGATCATTTGCAGATACTTCTTCACCTCAACATCCACGGCCTGGCCCTTAAGACCTTTGAGCCGACAGAAGAAGCGCAAATGGTTTTCAACGGTCATATCATTAAATAACACATTATGCTGTGGACAAACGCCCAAGGACTCGCGCGCCCCCTTGGTATTGGTACGTATGTCGCTGCCATTGATGATTGCCGTGCCAGATGTTGGCGGCAGCATGCCCGTTAGCATCGATATGGTTGTCGTTTTGCCAGCTCCGTTGTGGCCAAGTAGCACGGTGATGTTGTCCTCATACATATTCAGCGATATTCCCTTGACAGCCCATTTATTTTGGAATTTCTTCTTCAGATTTCTGATCTGTAGACCAATGAGCTTGTCAGTTGGCTCTGCCTCGAAGGCGTTTGGATCCTGCTGCTCTAGTTCGGGCATGTCCTCTGGGTGCGTCACTTTCTTTGCCTGGCACCAAAACGACTTTGTAAAGGGGAAATACCATTCACGCGTCACGCCATAGCTGCCAGCGAATATCTGCTCAATGTAGAGGCAAACCAGCATATAGACTACGCTGGACACCAGCATCATTATCATAACATAGCCAACAGTTAGGTTGTCATCGATGTTAACCGGCGAGAATAAATTGTACCACTGTAAGCCCTCACCCGATGCCTCAAATGACACGATTAACATTATACCAAAGCCCATTGCCGTATTCAAGCACATTGACCACCCGAGCTTATCGCTCAGGCTGAGTCCGCCGTATGTGGCAATCGTGAGCATATACGGCATATAGAAGATGAACCACACCAAGCCAGTTACCGCTGCCGCTGTGCTTGCCTTGGCGAAGAGCGTGGACATCATGAAGCAAAAGCAGATCGTGTTCGTCATGTAAATCAGGAAGAACAAGAGCACGGCGAAGAAATTTGATTGGGTTAGGACGGCGACGTTCTCGCTGAAGCGTATTTTCATCAATGCAACCATAAAAATCACTGATATTGTCAGCATGCAGAATGACTTAATGAACCAGGCAGACCAATGCAACCAGTTGTCCAGTCCCATTATCTTCATCACTTCTTTCAATTGCATTTCCTTCTCCTTAGAGATATACTGTGAAGCGACGAAACAATTCAAAATTTTATGGTTAAAGTTTACTATTGAGCCAAATCAATTTATTGCAGTTGGTAAAAGTCTATCGCTTAGTCAAACAAAAAATTTTTGTATGCGTACAATATGATGACCCATTAAACATGTGTATGTATCAAACCTATAGAGTATATACCATGAAAGAACCACTTGAGGATGATGTGTTAATACATTATAGGTACATATAATAAAGTGCTTTTGGACAAGGGAGATACTTACCCTGGTTATGCATGTGCACGGATAGATGAAACTCAGCAGAATAATTAGGGATATCACATCGTTGAACGCGCCTATCAACTTATCATTTGTATAGGCCGGATACGGATAGCGTTGCATAACTACGTCGGGCAATGTTTTGCCAGATGACTTGAGTTGTATGTAGCACATGCTAATCGCGTTCTGTATGGGCAGGAAGCCTTCGCGCAAATAGCCGGGAGGTATTCCACCATCATCGGAATCGGGATTTCGTGGTCCTGGTGGTGATAGCACTGGATATAATCGCTTTGTAAGCCATGTGGCTGAGCCAAATTTGACCGTCCGCAGCTCAGAAGGAAATCGCAATGTGTATTCTAAATTGTCCGGTAGTTGATCAAATTTGGATCCATGAAACGCAACGCCAGCAAAAGCATTTGACCCCACCACATTCGATTCAATGTTGTCGATGCTGGCGATACCCACTACAGACATATTCAGTCTCTCCGCAACCTTGGTCATCAGGTCGTCCAGCACAGCATTCTGGGGTGCATATACCAGCACAAAGTTTGGACGCGCATTGCCAGACAAACTGTTTACGGATTTACTAAATATAAAAGATTATTCAATTAGTAAATGAATATAGAAACATTTATTATTTTATGTAATTATTAGAGGTAAACAATAAAAAAAGCCAAATGAATTTGATATAACATCCAAAAACGAATATTGAATAAAATATATAAGTAAATAATAATTGAATCTCTATAGTATTATGGTAAATTTTATAAACTCAATATGAAGAATTAAAAATTAATGTTTAGTGCAATGATTCTTATTACAGATTATACAGGTGTGTAGGCAGAGTGAACATATTTTTAATCAGAGACCGCCAATATAGTATATAAAACTATTTTGTAGATATATAAAGCATGTAATGATTTTTGTAAGAATGGTAGAACCGATAATCGGTAGCTGTAAACAAGCATTCTTATTTTGATAAGCATATTATTGACTTTTCTCTTAATCTTCTGCACCTCTTTGATAACAGCTTAGTCGAAACATGGCAGTCGCTGATTAAATGAGAATATTGAGTCATTATTTATAACTTTGCAGGTTTATGGAAATTAAATTTTGAATATCAACAATTTGAATACAAATCTTATGAACTGGTCGTGGATGTTATAAGAAATAGTGTTCTAAGAAATAGGGTAGTAAAAAAGTGCTGGACTAGAAGACACTGCGACCTTAGAAACGATCACAACCAAATCACAATCTCTGTCGCTTTAAATTTCTATGGGTTGAAACGATAAACAATGATTCGCTCATTCCCAAATACCCAAAGCCAATTCTTTCGATTCTGCAAAGTTATAGAACAATCGACAAGCCGAATGGCAGGAAACGCAGAAATTATTATTTGATTTACAAATGCATTCAGTTGGTTATCCAAATTTATATTTGTATAGCTGTTGCTTTACCTTTTCTTTGAGGCTAGGGAAACAAGCATTTTAAAACGATGCGACCATTCACTATTCACTTCATATCTGAAAATTTGTGGTCGATATGATATTCATATGAATACAAATACATAAATATATATATTCAGTGTTATACTGCTTATCATAAACATGCACACTTATATTTTTATTTTAAAAAATTAATTGAAATTGCATGCCTAACATGGATGAGATTTACCACAGGAATAATCTATAGAAGTTATTTATTTGCTAAGTTATATAATTTGATTTAAGAATATGATTTGCTTCGCTTTATATGTAAAAACAATGAAATGGTAATTCCTATATATTATGTTTATATATGTATTTTATTATATACATATTTATATAGCTTTTGTGCAATGTTCGTCATGCTGCCAATCCGTCTGTCCAGATGAAATTCTATTTCTGATCTCTATCAATTTGTCTGATTACCTATCGCATTACATTCAGACACTTCATTGAAGAAACTATTTATTTTATAAAGATAGATATAGATATAGATATAGATATAGATATAGATATAGATATAGATATAGATATAGATA